GTTACCCCATTATCCTTATCTACATTAGCCACATGACTCAGTACCTTTCTCAGCTGGACAGGTTACATGCTGCCTCTTCGGTGATCTGGGCAGGAGTGCAGAGAGCTTCCTGATTCTCAGAATACTCCCGGTCTCTTTTCTCCATCCCTACTTCCTGTCTGGCTTTCCTGTCTGTACTGCCTGCCTGGCCAATCAGCATTTTATTAAAATATGATGGACAGAATACAGACAATTCTTTCACACCAGGGGTCCATTTTCTAGGAGCACCAAGATGAACTGAAGCCAATCATGTGGGACAGCTTTAGTGCTTGAAGTCTACGTTTTCACCATTTCCCTAACAAATGGTAAATGCAGACCATAAGATTCACTATTACTTGCTTAATTTCTTTTAAATTGCTCATTTCTTCTTACAGTTGCCAACTATATTATTTGACTATCTTAGGGTATTTTGTGCTAGAAGGCTTCTCAGAGGATATTACCAGATAGGCAGCTAAAGCTCTGGTTAGTCATCCTGCACTCTGGCATGTAACTGATGGGACTAAATCCTGTTCTTGTACCTTCTCCTCTTACTCGTCAGTTTTGATAATTACCTCAATCTTTTCAAATGTTTTTACCACTGCCTTTTGTAAAGTCTGAATCTCCTGTCCAATGTTCCACTCTAGTGCCCTCACTGATGATTCTAAGTATGAAATTTGTCCTAAAGATAACATCTCATCCTTGGACATAATTTTGATGGCATGCATATTGCCTTCCTGGAGAAATACCTTATCCATTAACATGTCGAAACTTTTCAACAAATTCTGATTGTTAGATTCAACAGCATGAATTCTTTCAGATAATTTCTCAGTATCCTTCAACATTGATTGAATTTTGACTGTCAAATTACTGTCATTCTTTTCAGTAGTATTAATTTTTTCAACTAGTTGTTCATTATTAGTCTATAAAGACTGTATCTTTTTTTATTTTTAAAAGTGCCTCATTCTTTGCTCTGTTATCAAACCATTTTCTTAACAATATAATATGAAAAAGAAAACTAATTTCCAAAATCAAATAAATGGATGTATAAGGAGAATCGCACAAGCCTTGCAGAATACCATACATAGGGTAAGCAAAATGGGTATTAAATTGCTGAATGGTAATATTGTCAGCAATCTTATAGCTTATCAGTTTACTTACCTGTCTTAGACAATTTCAGTGAACTGGAGTAGGTGTGATAATCTTTTATACCCAGCATGTGTTGCAGTTGCAGCCTCATGGTGGATGGATGTTAAGATCATTTGCTCTCGTTCACTCTGGTTCTGCACTTGTCATCACCAACTTAGACACTGATAAATATGCTATGTTTAACAAATTAAGAGAAGTTATTAAAAACAATCAAAGTGCCGGGTGGTGGTGGCACACGCTTTAATCCCAGCACTCGGGAGGCAGAGGCAGGAGGATCTCTGAGAGCTCCAGGCCAGCATGGACTACAGAGCCACAGAGAAACCCTGTCTCAAAAAAAAAAAAAGCAATCAATGTGATTCTGAGAGATGGTGGTCAGAATAAGAAAGAAGTCCAAAGCTTTCCTTCAGTAGTGAACCATGAAATTGGGCATGCAGAGCAAGCAGATGAAATGTCACAGTGATCACTGGTTGCAGAGGCAGCCAGCAGGGAACGTCAGTTTCCTTTAGCAGAGGTAGATGGGCCCCAAGCAGGTGAGAAAATATGAACGGTCTGGTGAACTCGGAGGACTGTGGTAAGCATGACTCATTCCCACATGGGGCACCAGATGATGCTGAATGCGTCGAATGGGGGAAATGTGAGTCAAATAATCCCAAGATACCTCTGAATAGAGAATTCTAAGGAATTTTTTTTTGAGGGAACACTCATGGAACAGGGAAGAGGTCCAACATCAAGGTATGGAGCACCAGGAAGATAAGGGAGAACGGATGAGATCATGGCCTTTTGGCATCCCAAAGCTACAACTCAACCTGGTCCAGCCCCCCAAAGATCATTGAAGGAGGTTCCCCATCACTAGTGAGAAGAGGAAGGGGGATGAGTGAGAGGGAGTGGTAGAGAAAGGGGAAAAGAGAGTGGAGGAAGATGATCCATGAAAGCAAGCAAGTATGTGTAAAAATATCACAGTGAAAGATACTAGTTCGTATGCTAATTAAAGTGATACAGATAAAAGTTTAAAATGAGGTATATGTTTATGGCTCTGAGTTCAGTGTCAAAGTGTTATGAGTTAATGTCACATTATACATCATAAATAACATATTCTCTTATGTTAAACACCGACTTTCTACTTCCTTCCTTCTAAATAGCGATTTGAAATACCTTCACACCACAGACTAGATTTTCAAAGAAAAAGTGGTTAGTGTTAGAAATCCAGAGATGATGTACATGAGTTCATTAATTTTCACATATTCTCCTGGACCTATTGTTCTCCCATGTAGACTTCTTCATTTCAAGACTTTAAAGTCATAGTAAAAGACTTTGCTTTCTCATCTCTTGCTAGAAGCTATGTGACTTTACTTTTTCCTATTCAAATTCACAGAGAAGTCAGGGGAAAATATTAGAACAGATTTGGATTTATTCCACTTATATCATTTAACCATTGCACCACACTTCACTGACTAGTCCCATAATGATTGTACTTAAAGAACCACCTAGACTGCACTAGGGTTTAATTTCAGTGCAACTCTTTGTGTGACAAGAGCTCCTGACTTCTTACATAATCATCTGAGAATGGGAATAATAGATACACTTTTTGTTTTGAGGGACAATTCATGTTTATGATACAAACAATATAAAGATCAAGTCTCTGTTTATTGCCCTATTTCCTAATCACTACTATTTTTAATGATATTCTGCTTTTCTCATTTCTCTTCATAGCATTCTTTCCATCATCTTCCATCTTTTTTTCTCTCTCCCCTATCCTGATGTGTTGACACTTTATGTTATAATGTAAAACAGGGAATGGTCAAAATTATTTTAGAGGTAGCATGGTACAATCATAGCTAGATTCTACAGAATTGTGTAGTAACTTTACAATACTATTGATAAATTCACCAAAGCTTAATCTCTGCTGTTTTGCCATAAAATTATGTCCAATGTAAAAAAAATAAAAATTCACTATGTGAGTTTGAACAAAGCCTGAAAAGCTTTTCTAAAGGACTAACTTAAATTTAAAAACCAGGACCAACTTGGGTGTGTGAGAGATAACTGTAAAGAGGGATGAGTTCTAGCGTACAATTGGGAGGTTTTGAGTTGACTTCATGCACCTGACAACAATGAAGAAATGAATCTGCCTAAAACAGATGTACAGTAGAAATAGGTGGGCCCACTAGGAAGCGAGTGAAATAACCTAAGACAAAACCAAAGTCTAAATGAGGGAATAGAAATCTTGAAGATGGGCTGTGTTTTACAGACTGAAGCACATTTATCCTTTCTTATTCTGATTTGTAGGTTGGTGAAAGTTGAAAATGGTCAAATTGAGTCTTGTCATGTTGACTGTTTCTTGCAGTTATACAAACCTAATACTGTCTGTCAGGGGACTCAATGTCACTCTCCAAGTAAAAATGAATAAATAAGCACATTATTTTGAATGTAATAAAATATGTTTTATTTTATCTGTAATGGCTTCACTTTTATTAATATGTATTGTATATGTCCATGTTTATGCATGCTACATGTATATAGGTGCCTCTGAAGCTCAGAAGAAGTCACCAGATCTCCTAGAGCTTGAGTTATAGCCAGTTGTGAGCTCTCTAATGTGGATGCTTGGAAGTAAACTCTGATCCTCTAAAAGAGCTGCAGGTGCCCTTAGCCACGGAATCATCTTTCTAGCCCTACATTGTGAGTTTTTATGAAGTATTTTTTTGATCGAACATTTAGTCATACTTACTTTCATGTGTAAGCAGAATCTGAACAAAATATTGCAAGCAGTAGTTATTTATGGAGTCCATATGAATAATAATGAATTATTTGTCACCTTTGCTAGATTTAATAATATAATAATCCATAGGCATGGCGTTAAAGATGGCTACAACAAGTTAAATTACTGTAAATGATCATGGCACTTTGAATGCTTTATTGAAATATGTGTCTTTGTGATTCTTATTGTCTGTTTTCTTGATCCCAGAATTTGCAGCATTCTGCACCAAAAGATTTCCTTTGCTTTATGCATGGGAGGTTTTTGTAAAAGATGGTTTTCTTGCTAGATGATGCTGATAGGAAGGTCATGGCTGCCTTAAGGCACTGGTAAAAGAATAGTCAGCCTACCCTGGTGCTTACAGACAGGAGCGCCTTTTATTTTCCTTCCCTTCCCTGGTATTAATTAGCATTGGTGATTCAGGCTGGCTACATTTTTCATCCAAGTTTTTCTTTCAAGTTACTAATCAATAACTCGTTAATGAAGCCAGAAAGGGAGAACGAAGCATTCTTAAATGTCCACTCCCACTTCCAGAAACAAACAAACAAGCCTGGAGCTTCACAGAAGAAATCATTCAGCTAGCAAAATTGTGTGGTTGCTAGGAGGGAGGGCAGTTGATTTAGTGAGGAGGTTTGTGAGACCTTTAAGTATTCAATTCCACACATAGTATATCAAATGCTGCCTTAAGTAGTATTAATATTTGCATCATGATTTTCAAATTCATCTTCATGAAATGTCACTTAATGAAGTCTTAATAAAACGCTTCTGAAGCAATAGTTCATCCTAGGAGCCATTTAGTCAACTTTCTTTGGATTGAGTTCTTTAAACGAATATTACACTTTGGACTATCAAAAGGAGCGGAGCCATGCGGGATGCTGATCTTTAGTATTCATGCAGATAGTAGAGAAGGTCATTTCTACTGTGCCAGACATTTCAAAAATAAAGCCAAAAAAAAAAAAGGTCTCAGTGCGTAGTTCAGAGCAATAACCACTAGGTGGCAGAAGCGCTCCTTCCGCCAACTCGGCTTCGCCTGGTGTGGGCTGTAATTAGGTCAGTGTAAGTTAAAGTAGGGCTGAGAGAGGAATAAAGTAGATTTTCTCCTCTGGAACACACTGCAGTTTAATTTCACCTCTTTCTACAATGTGCGATGAAGGTGGACTTAACTTTTAAAGGCAAAGAGACAAACCACTGCCAGGATAAATGAAAAGACGCAGAGGGGGCAGCTGGCACCACACAGGCAAGGAAATGCTTTCTGGCTGGTTCCTAATTTTCATATCCGGGTCATCTTCAGAAATCATTTTCAGAGGTAAGGTGATGAATGTTTTATGTAAGAAAGAGGTGACTTCCAAAGCAAGGGGTGGGCTTGCTGGTTGCTTTTGAAAATTAATTCCCTTTACTGGTGATACATGCAATAAATCTATTTTATTCTTGATGCTGTTTTTTTTATTTGTTTTTTTTTTTATTTTTCCTAATTTTGGCAGCAGCCAGAAACACGTTAATCTGAGGGAAAGCTCCACACACCCACACAGACTTCCCTTTCCTGCTGAGTGAGCCAAGGAGGAGGAAGTGGCACGGAAGGCAAAAGTTGAAACCTTCTGTTCTGCAGTCTTGGAGGCTCTGAGGACAGAACTGCCTTGACACAGGGATCCAGCTCTAGTGTTAAAAATGCAGCAGGTCAACATAAGAGGCCTCCCTCTCTGAAAGCATCAGGGGCCACTGAAGTCACTTATGTGAAGGACAGTAGGAAATGAGGACACTCACAAGAAAAATCTACCCGTTGCCAGGTTGCTGATTATGGCATTAGATGTCCAAGATTTGTTGTTGTTTGTTTGTATTTGTTTACTTGTTTGTTTTGTTTTTTCTTACGCAAATAGGAGCAAATAAGATTTAATTTAGACATATTCTAAGTAGAAATATTTCCTGATTTTAAATTCTCTAGCGTTTGAGAGTATCTAGCTGAATTCAATCTTATTTCTTTAAATTACAGATCATGCCATAGGTAATGCCAAACTCAGAGAGAGGAAGGACAGCTGTCAGTATGATAATAATAATGACAACAACAACAACAACAACAACAATAATAATAATGTATAAACTATTGTGATGGTGAAAGAGAAGATAAACTAAGCACAAAGAGGTGTTTCATGCAGCTAAGATTCCTGCTGGTCATTTCTAGGTTTTCAGATAAACTAGGAGCTGAGTGTCTTGCATAGGTCTCCACCATTGCCCAGTTGATAATGTCTGGGTTACCCTCAAATTTCTTCCACCTTTTTGTCATTACCTCATGTTCGTTCAGGCTGCTTTCCATCTGTAGCCACATATGACACAATGACAGAATCTCTGTGCTATTCTGTGTTCATGTTTGCATCCAGAATCACAATCACATTAAATCTACAAGCAAGCATGATATATGACTGAATTCTGTGTACTGTAAATGACGTCCTCTGTACATTTCAATATTGTAAAAAAAAAAAAGAAAAGACAAGAGAAAAGAAAAAATGAACGAAGACTGACAAAGACTAGACTAAGAAACAAGTGATAAAAAAAATCTAAGAAAACATCTTGAACTCCTGTTTTAAAGGTATAAGCAGTAAGCTGTAGCCCCCCTTTCTAATTATCCTAACAGCTTGATTTGCTGATTGACAGTAGATAGATATGAGGTAGGCATTGTACTTTTGAAGACATTAGAAGCAGAAGGCAGTCAACAAATTATAATTTACAAAAATACTGGACTGAGCTCTGAAATTCATACCTCAGAGATCAGATACAGTCTTAACCTGAAATATCATTGCCAGTTAATCAGAAGTTGATGAAAAATGGAGTATAACCAATGGAGTATACATAGACAACCTTAATTCTAATGTTTTATTAGAAACCATTGTTTCTTTGAGAAGCATATCATCTCCACTTTTTCATCTGTTTGTTTTACAAAGACATGTCAAATAGAATTTAAGAAAATAAATACTTTGGTCATTGTGAAGTGCATAATACAGCCCTTGTTTTTGAAATCGCAGGCATATTTTAACCAAGTCTGTAATATAGAGCTAGAAATGCATGGACTATCCTTAAAAGTATGATATACAAGAGTGAGTGATTTTGTAAGTGAGTAAGGTACAGGTAGACTTTGCTGGCTTCCTGGCAGCTTGTTCTCAGTTTTCTTTGATTGTTATTATATGGACTCTTTGTTTCTTTCGTCCTCCATTTTTAATGCATGTATCTTATGCCTTCCATTGTTGTTTCTAGTTGTAATTTGTTCATGACCAACCCTGAATTTCATTTTATCGAACAATTCTGGCTGTACTTTCATATATAGAAAAATTCTGAAAGACATACTGGGTAACAACTGTATATTTCATGTTTTTAACACTGAGAGAGAAAGTGTAAATTGGATTCATAGGCTACCATCTTCAATAGTGTTTCATAAGCACCACAATTGATCCTTACCCTTATCTTTTTCACTTTTAACTATTCTATCTTTATAGAAATACAAATAGACAAGTTAGATGTCTAAGATAATGTAGATGGTAGAGTCAATTAGTTAGTTCAAAATATCTTTCTTTCAAAGAATTGGTCAACTTTGTTTTGCCTGATCACAGCCTGTCTACAAAAGAGTGTTAGCTTTTTATCTTAAATAACTGTAAAATTGAAATTTTCAAAGGAAGTGAATGGCCTTGTATTCTAGTATGCTTTCCAGTTGGTTTGAAAAGCCATTTGACTAAAATCAAATTGGGGCAAGAGCAAATGTTTTCATTCATATTTCCAGGCCAAAAGATATCATCGAGGGACAACAGAACAAGAGCTCAAACAGTAATTCAAGTGGAGACCATGAAGGGATACTGCTTATTGTTGTGCTCACTGGCTTCTGCTCCGTTAGTTTGCTTCTACAGACTAGTCCTACCTGAAAAAGGCCGCTGCCCATCACAACAAGATAGTCCCTCTCACATCAATCATTCAACACATTTGGTCACAGACAAAAGAGGTCTAGGAGTCTGTTAACTGAGAGTTCTTTAGATGACTCTAGACTGTGTAAATTTGACAGCTGAAGTCAACTAGGACTACTGAGTTTTTTTAAATATATGAACATCAAATAAATGATAAATTTCCTTTGCCATACAGCCAGAAATGACAATAAAGCAGGTTAGAAGATAAAATTAAAAAATAAAGTTCATTGTGTCTCTACAACACATTCTAACTAAATTGAACACCAAGAAAGAAGTGAGTCTCAAAGAACAAGAAACACTTTTTTTCTACGAGACTCACTTGAATTCCTTTTATTCCTATGTTATATATTCGTAAACTGAGGTGAGGGGTGCATACGCCTGAAATGTCTATGGGCAAAGCAATATATCTTCAATACATGTGTTAATTCTTTACATAGAACTAGCACTTAATGTGCGTGTTAACCAATACACACCAACATGGCAGATATAAAACCGTAAGATTTAATTCTAGTTCTTTTTGTAGAACTGAGGTTTTCATGTTGGAGCAGGCTATTTCTTCGTTTGAAAACAAATTCAGCATAGTTTTCAAAGGTCTTCCATGTGACCACAGGAGTCTCCTGGCAAGAAAATACTAAGTAGATAGAGGCAACATTCATCACCATTATCAGAGTCTTGTTCATGAGGTCGTGAGATAACGTTAGAAAATCACCAGAAGGACACATGTGCCCATGTGGAGAGAAGGGCAAAGCCCAGGTGCGACTTGTTTATCCCTGTGTCACCTGTACCAACATACTCAGTCTCACAGAAGGCATTTAATGGCAGTAAAAGAAAAATGTTTAGAGCACTTCTAGGGAAGAATTTTTAAAAGACACCTTTAGAATTTGCACTCTTTTTCATGAAGAATGATGACCTTAGCCTCAAAGATCATAGAACATTTAATCTAACTTCTTGAGAAATCACAATGGGAATTTTTATGCTATAACAGAAATATTACACTTATTTCTTATTGTGATCAGAATTTTATGTAATGAATATTTTACATATTCCTACATACAATTTTGACATATATAAAGTCATTAAACTAGCCCTGGAATAATTTGATGATGAATTACATTAGTTATAAATGACATAAATTACATATTTTCTCTTTTAAAGCGTAAGTAGTTGATTAACAACATGTAGGTTATTATATTATAAATAATTAGAGTAAACATAAAATAGATATGTGGAGATCCTAAGAAGAAATTATTTTAGATGAAATATTTATATACACATATATGAAAAAAATTTGACAAGTTTATTTTATAAAAACTCTTTGTACATCTACGTTGCTCCATTGCATATCATACAGAGACAAACACAATATTTGAATAATTAATTAAGTCTTAAATATCTTATGTGCCTTAATATGAAATTTAGCAAAGAATTTATTGTGTTATATTCACTGCACAGTGTTGGCCATATAAGCCCATGATTTACTGAGATCATTTTACTGTGAATAATTTGGAATGCTCCTGAAACAATTGTCATCTTAGATATCTAAAGTCTATCTATTCCTGTGTCTCCTATAAGAAATTTGATATATATCATCTAACTCTTCAAAATATTTAAATAGTCCAACAAGTACTTTTTATTCAGTTATTTCATATTCATTAAAGATTGAACCTTATACTGAAAACTCACAGGTAGAGAATGAGCACATAGACAGCTGGGCTTCAAAGCTATGGAGAAAGGTATTATTCTTTTATGGCAAAGAATCCAATCAAGTTTCAAGTACTAAGAGGTATTTTATTAGCCCTTATAGGCTTAATCAAGGAGTCAATGTCAAGTGCTAAATGTAGGACATAGTAATTTAGTCTTTTCCTTATTGCTGAGTCTCAACTCACCATTTAAAATCATCTCAATGTTAATACTTTCTAAAATTAGGTTTATAAAAGAATGTGAAAGTGAATCAGCACACTTCATTCAAATCTTCAAAATAAACGAGGAGTGTGTAGACGATTGTTGTACTTTTTTGCTTATATTTGATTGCAATTTCTGTCTGGAACCAGAATCTCTCATTGTTGAGTAAGCACATTAATGAAACTTATATGTAACTAAAATTATAAAGACTTTTAATTGACAATAGTCGTTTTACAACCTCTTACCCTTTAAATGGTGTGTGTTTGTGTTTGTGAAGAAGGGGAAAGTGTAAATTGAAAGGAGTTAAAGGGCATGAAAACAGCCTCTTCTTGAAGAACCATGTCAGTAGTTTTAGGATTAGCAACCCTCTACTTAAAAGGCAAAGGACGGTTTCTGCTTTTGTTATTCATTGCCTTTCATCTAATTACTTAGGATTTTCATAAATAAGACATCATAGTTTAAA